GAGTCAGTAAGACCGATATAATAAAGAGAGAGATGGTTAAAGCGTCACTTATTATTACTAAAATGTCACAAATCATATTTCGTCTTAATATGTTATAGCAAACTTATTCTTTGCCACCTACGACAGTAAATATGAGTGAATATTAGTGCAAAAAAGCCATCCCGAAATAAATAAGACCTTAATTCATCAAACAACTATAAAATAGAAATGATCAAGAATTTAGCAACATTCAAAACATAAACAAGCGTAGAAAACGACAGCTTGTAAAATGACAGCACCAGCAATGATTATTTTATAACACAGTAAAGGGTACCGTGGACTAAAATGAGAATGTCAACACTTCCGAAAAAACTTCGAACCTTATCAATCTTTGGTTCCAGTTCCAAGGTAGGTCCCAAAACATCTTTAGCTTCAACACAACCAAATTCCTTATTAATTAACATTCTGGCTATTTCACGATCACTATCAGTTACTGAAAAAAGAAAAGCCTAAAAATTCCACAAATAAAGTCTTCATCTACAAATAATATTTTTAACTCTATATCACTAATAACCCAGAGAAAAAGTAACATGATGCAAAAAAGTTTAAAAAAGCAGAAAACAGATCTTCTTTACGATAATATCTTCATAAATTAACCTTTTTCTACAAGACTTTTCCTTTTATTTTCATTCGTTCCATCTCTGTAAGCCGTTTGTTGTTTGGATTTTCGAACCTTAGGTAAATTCAGAGCAGCACGCACAACGCAGGCGTGCTTCATAACTGTTCGTGGTGTCAAATTGGTAGCTCTCGCTGCATCAACTCCTGTGTATCCTTCGTGTAACACCCTAAAAATAGCTACTGATGTATAATTGAGAACTATTCATTTCTGTTTCTGATGAATCATAAATTCGAATTTTGGAAATAGAAATGAAACTTACATGCCTACAGCTTTACGTATAGCATCCGCTTTCGTTGAGTGTCTAACAGAAGTTCCACAATAGTCATAGATACATTTGTCGATACGATTCTTATCAATCGTCGAAATATCGCGTGCAAAATCCTTTCGTGCTCTCCTAACTCGTACTTTCTTTCGATCTTTCGTCTGATTACCCCCAATTTCATTACTCTCATCATCTGTAAAATATTTTACTAATTCGAGTTTTTATATAATCCTGAAAATAATAAACTAAATTAGTTTTTGATTACAGAATTTGTTCATATTAGTTTTTATTGGTTGTTTAGCGTTTTCAGGTGTTACGGTAGGTAAGCAAACGGCACAGCAGAAAGACCTATGATGTCCATGTCAAAATTTCATAAACCGCCAACCTATAGACGAAAAGGAATTAGAAACTAAAAGCAAAGTGACACACTGCTTGTTTGGTTAGACACCTCTGTCCCTTCATTTTTCACTTCTATTTCAACTCCATTCTTTTCTGCTGCCAAAATCATGTTTCGTTTATGTTGTTTGACTAAATTGGCTCTATTCAGCAACTTTTCAACCATATTGTAATAGGTTCGAAAATATGAAACAGCGAGCTTGTAACACTGACAAGCCTCCTGAAAAGTTATAATGTGTGTACGACAATCAAATAACCATTTATATTTAAATATATACATAAAATCGAGGTATACTGGACCACTGCCAACTGCACTAATCAGAACTACAAGCTAAATGAATAGAAGTCAACAAAAAAATTACTTGCTCAGACATCGTCTTGCAATGAACATCTGTAACTGCACTCTTCAGTCGTTCCTTTGTTTCACTACTTACTCTGCTATAACCCACAACGATATCTATTGCGCGACGAAGTTTTTCATCAACATGACCTGTAAATTACTGAACTCTTAAAAAAGCAGTTAACTGCATCATTAATTAAATGATTTATTTTGCATTATGCACAATTTACTGATGTAAATTCGATCAATTGTATATCAATAGTTAATGACCACAGCATATTCAATAGTAATACTGGAACGAACCGTCTGTCACGGATGATGTCTTGTTATTTCTTCCAACACTGCCCATTGGATCCACAGCATTCATAATATTTCCATTTTCCGGAATCTTTAAATATTCGATTGTAGACATATACTTGTATTTAAATATATTCTAAACAGATTTAACACACTTGATTACTTTCCAAAAATTTTTTGAAATCCATGCTGAACAATATCAAAAAAGCATATAAAACAAGCAAATAAAACTTATATTGTACATCCACACTACTTCATGTCATCCTCAAATAGAAACTCTATCAAGATTTCATGACAGATCCGATAATCAAAATATTTAACCTTTTCTTATGGGAAATTAATTTCAAAATTACTTTGCAAAAATCAAAACTGTTTAATAATATTGGTATTTTACATCTATAAACTTAGTCTTGGGACAAAAGAAATCAATATCTCGCCAATACCTTCTGTTCATTCGCAGCATTTTCATAGTAACTACTACTGGCGTTTATTTCATCAGCGGATTTCAAACTCTCGGACCGTTGAAACGTCTCCATCATGTCACTAGTGCTACTCTTAATGAGTACATTCTCCATACTGCAAACAAAACAATTATTTTCAGGAAGCGTCCTATGAAGCATAATTACCAAATCATATTTTAATCATTTTCAAAGCCTTCAGTTATTTAACTATGTTATATCCATGCACCTCCACACTGTACTTTGCAAAGTGTAAAAGTGCACTTATACTCCTACTTTCGAAATTCACTTCATGAAATCCTAAAAATATCCATAGTTCTTATCTCTGTTCATATCTATCACTTTCACTTACATCAAATATTCGTTCGATCCACTCCTAATAAAGTGGTTTAAAACTGCAAACTGTAAACTCTACACCTGCAACAAACCTCTAACAAAAAATGAGCGCATAAAAGCATTATCATATTGTCAAATACATAGACATTTAAACTGCATAAGAATAATACGTTGCTATATTTTAGATCACATAATGAAGGAAAATGTCACGCCGAAAATAAGTGAACGAAAACAATGAAATGGTAAAATCAATATGACCGATTTTTCGAGATGATTGTCTATTCACTTAATTTCATGGACCAAAAAACCGATACATGTGTAACTGCTAAAATTGAATCTTCAATCAGACGAATTCCTATCAATAATTCCCTTCAAATTTGAAGTGGTTCCCACCACATATACATCAAATATAATAAAAAATAAGTAATCTCAGTGATTTGCTTCATAGTAAGTATAGATCCGATGGGACATAAGTTAACGCTTAAAACTTTTGAAAAACTTTACACTGAAAATTCAAAAAAGTACAACGACACATTTCGCACCAAACCTCAATTCTAGTCCTCCTCTCTCTTCTGTCTTGATCGTCCGAATCCCTCACTTCCAACACACTCTTTTGCCTCCAACACATAATAAATTTATAATTTATCGTCATTCACAATGATTCTAGATAATTTGTCTGTACGTGGAGCACGTGTACTTCCACGCATGTATTTTAGCATGCATATGCTCTAACATCATATATTGATTACTTCCCTCTGTCGAAACATGAACATTTACTGGTTTGAAATTATTTACCTTATCTTTCCATAGTTGAAAAAAGCAGAAATCTATACCTAACGTGAAGGAAGTGTATGTAAGTAGAGTTGTTACGTGAAACTGAGTAAACCTTCTCATTCCTGAAACAGTATTATCCGTCCATTGAAATGGATTTCAGTAATTTGTTAAAGGAACTGATAGTATAATATTCTGCACCTCTCCTCTCCACCACTGCTACCTTCGGCAAATGCTGAATTGAAAATCTGAATTGAAAAGAAATTTGATTTTCTGAAGCATGTCCCACCGACTAACGAAAAAGCCGAAAATATTTACTGAATTCATTTTTGATATATGGGAGAAGGCATTGTGTTGCACTTTGCGGAACTGTGAGACGGAAGGACGGAATGAACCGAGCGTCTCTCATTTATCAGCGGTACGCACTGTGATGACAGCGCTTTCGTGCGCCACTGTTGAACAGTTGCCCAGCAGCTGTACATGCATAGTTTGAGTAGTATGGAGGAAATAATTACTTACTTTTACTTTAGATTACTTTAGATACTAGTTTGAGTAGTATGGAGGAAATAATTACTTACTTTTACTTTAGATTACTTTAGATACTAGTTTGAGTAGTATGGAGGAAATAATTACTTACTTTTACTTTAGATTACTTTAGATACTAAATATTGTTTGCTTCTTTGTTCACTTTGCTTGTTTACTAGATGCAAATGAAATGTGTGAAATTTCCCACTTATACTGTTTATTTGTGTGTTTGCTCCATATGTACACCTTATATATAAATGTGTAGCTTAATTTAGTAAATGGAAGTACAGTTAGTAGAAGAAAAAATCAAATACCATAATAACATTCAAATTAACCGTAATTAAAGTCATCGGCTGTTATTTGAATATTTGTACTCGTTTTGACATATTTAAAACTCTTCAGCTATAATTTGTTTCCAGAAAATCTCAGTGAGCAGTTTCATTTTTTTTTTTTTAAATTTCTGACACAATTTCTCCATCCTTTTGTATTTAAATATCCCTAAGTTTTTGATATTAGCATTCTACTGAACTATTTATTAAATTTAATGATCGTTTTCCTCTGGCTCATAGTTTAATTTTACCCAGTTATATAGTTTAATATATTGTGCTTGCCTTCATGCGATGTTGGTAAAGGATAACTGAATAATACATCAAATTCCACAGACTGATTCATTTTGGATTTTCGAAAGAGTAATGTAAGATTCTTGTAAGATTCAAATCAAGATTTTAATTTAAAAAGTGCAAGTATAAGATATTTTTTAAGCATGTTTCAATGGCAATGCAAAATAAGCAAAAGCTGATGAAAAAATAAGAAACCAGTAACTGGCACGAGTAAAAGCATTGTTCCTTTTCATTCATGTTCTCGTCTTGCCTTTTTTTTTCACACGGCAAGTTTGGCGTGACTTTATTTTTTTGGTTTTCGATATTTGTAGAAGTGAATCAGAAGAACAAAAGAAAAATGTCAAATGCCGAGAAGCTTGCAGCTGAATTTGAAAAAGGCGAAACGGATCTTGACAAATTTGGCAAAGGTGCTGGTAAAAGAACAAAGGTTAGAACGAAGCTGAAATTAGTATTTGACACTGTAGTGATATTAACACTTTCTTAAGTTGAAGATCTCATTTGTAATTAATTATTCCCACATACAATTCCATTGAGTTCTCTAAGGATTCATTAAAAGATATTAATTAAACTTTTACATTTAAATGATGCTTACAATAAAATAGAAATGCCTACATGTGAAATTCAATAATTAAAAATCTATATAGCATCTGAACAAAAATGACTGGAAGTTTTTCTTTAGTATGTGCACCACCAGTACTTCACTACATATACTTTACATAAATTCTTTAACAATTTCCAGGCTGAACAGTATGAACATAAGCACTCGCATCCAGAAGGTGATACCAGAAAAATAGTTAATTATTGTGTTAGTGGTCAGGAAAAAAGAAAGGGAACTACTAGCACAGGTAGCACAGCGAAGAAAGACTAAAACTGCAATCTCTCGATCTCGAGTTGAATAAGGAACATTCCTTGTTGCACATGCATGTTCGAGGCTTTCAAATAGTGTCTCTTAATGTATTTCAAATATTATCATATGTTTCCATGTTTTGATTACTTTTTAATGACCCAGTCTTTTAAAGCATTTTGTAAAATCTTTTTTGTATTACTAAAGACGCAGAATCATTCTGCACTCAATGTTATAGGTCCGCATTGGATTAAGTTTCTTTGTTGTGGAATCGTTTTTCAGTGTCAATACACTGAAACATATTCTTTTTACGCCTCATAATAAAGCATACGACACGTCTTAGTGTCGTACGATTTGTTTATATCAACAAATACTTCAACTGACATATTGTATCTCTCATTGTTTCATTTTTGTATGAGCTTGCTAGTTTGTATGCACGGTAAAATTTCTTACTAAATGAACAGCATTATTAAGACGTTTTTATAAAACATAACGTAGCATCACAACAACATTCAGTTCCGTATTAGCTTTTCCTGTAAAAATCATCATTTATAAATTCATGAACCACGAGAATTCCGGGACGTATTGCATCAGGAACTGGCCAAGAACTGTTCGTTCAGAAGAAACTCAGCACTAGTTTGTTTCCTAAATCTGCATTTAACGTCTGCACCCACGGTAAGAACAAGAGTATCATTGCTGATTTACTGGTGATCTATGAAGGAATAACAAAATGGAGTTGAATAACAAAACATTCCTTAATTGCTTTCTTGTTTACAGGTTTTCATATTTTTTCATTTTTATGTACTTTCAGGAAGTGGTTGATATGAAAATTACTAGTCAACAAATAAAAACTGTAAAAATGATCTTTACATAACACAGTAAATACTACAGTTCAAACAACAGCTCAACAAAACACTAATAGGTTTAACTCGCAGTGTAATTTTCTCTTGTTTTGCTCTTCGTCTTTTTCTTCTTTTCTATGATTCGCTTGATTTCTTTTGCTCTGGGATTATCAAGTATTCTTTCAGTATCGAAAACTTCACCCACGGGATCGGGCATTTTCACAGCCGCTTGTTCTGCTAACTTTATTCCATGGGCCTAAAATAAAAAATAAAAATAAAAACCATAAAAACATGCCGTGTATAATTATTTATCGTGAGAACATTTCTTAGAAATTTTGAGAATTATATCTCAGGAGTAATCAGTAGATCAAACAAATTACTTTTTCAGCCAGCTTCTTCATGACATATTTATGAGAATGTCTTTTCTTAATTTCACTTCGGACCGTATTCGGACTAACGTAATTAGGGTTGTCGTATAAAACGGAGCCTTCAAATGATCCATCGAAAATGCGAATAATTTCCAATACCATGCGTGGTCCTACAATAATCATTATTGATATATTTTCCCAATTCATAGCAAATAAAAATAATTTATTACATCAACAGCAGTATTAGCCTTAGCTTCTGATTTCTTTCACGTGCAAAAAAATTAGAACAAATGTCAACACTAAAATACTTTTAACTTGGCAACAAACCGATCTCCTGAAGTTCAACCATTTCATCAACAATTTGAAAGTTTCGAAACCATATTTTACCATCTGCAGTTATTGAAAATGTGAAAACATGATCAATAAATGGTTTGCTTCTGGGATGATGATATGGCGTACTGAATGTCTGTAAACAACAGTGCACAATACAACTTAACATATGATACATGTTGTTTGGAGCTGATATTAAATGAAATATATTAATTGGAGTCAGAGTGAAAATTTGGAAGAGTGACCTGTATTAGAAGTTGCTTGATAAGTAAGAAGTGTGGCTGGCTATCAAAAGTAGAGTCAAACGAAAGCACCGGTCGCGATCCCTTCAAACAGTTACCAGACATCCGCATTTCATCCATCGTGTGCACATTATGCACCAGAAATTTTACAGATGGACCGTATGTTGTATTTGATATCCATAAGTATAGATCCTCAAATAAAATTGTTCATAGCGATCCATGAATCATTATGCATTCCTTTAGTCATTCCCAGATAACCATAACTGATATCAACTGAATAGTCTGAGACTACTAGCAAAATCAGTGATGAATTTTTACTGGCATTTTTTAATGTCTTATTATAACATTGCGCAATAAGTGTTTTAATTCCAAATACAATGATCTGACTTATTGAGTAGCTGTAAAATCACTTGGAGATCCCATTAATACGAAGTACAGTGAGTGATTTAGATTATCTGTTCTACAGTTAAAGTAATTATATATACCGTAATTTTCTATGCTTACCGTATGCTTTCTGTTTTCGAAATACAGACATTTGGTACAGTTTGCTATCTCAGCAATCTCATTAATCAATACCAAACTATTCCTCTTGTCCATTTTGTTATCCGATTTGCTATGAGGCATTAAATTTAAGAAATCCTTCATTAGATGACGCATACGATAGGATGCACCACGAGAACAAAAAATCAGAACACGCTCACGATTTATCCATTTTGATTTGACCTGTAAAAACAATGTATATACCATGTTTTGACAGCAATTTTGAAAAATTTACATAGGATAAAATAAAGAAAGGACATAAACCTGTTCTGAAGCATCCTTTTTTTTGAGTGAAATTGGAAATGATTCTTCCTTAGATGTATTTGAGCTCTCTGATGTTCTTGAAGCTGGTCTACGCTTCTTCGACAGTAATTTATCGACACCTTCAAGTTGACGAAAACGTTGTGACATCTAAAAATTATGTAACGTTTAATATGTACATTTATAAATATCAGATATTTAAACATGAGCGCTCTGTAGACACACACACGTTACCATAATGTTTTAACTAAATACATACCTAATGTGATTGAAAATATGCAACTTTTAATAGCTGCACTCAGTTTCAAAAGTAAAGCATATATATATATATAGGCATAGGTGACCTGATTATGTTGTTATTAAAAAAAAACCTAATATCAAAAAAAATCCAAACAAAACACATGGCAAAAAAATAACGAAAATTATCCAAACAGCCTATAATTATTAAATCAAATAAAAGCCAGTAAAACAAAGACGGAACTAAACATTAAAATAACTCTAAACAAGTTATTGAGAACAGAATGTAAATAAAATAGTAAAAGCAAACAAAAGATATCATTTCGGAACAACATGTATCGGCTAGCCGTAGAATTACCTTCCACTAAAATTATAGAAGCATTCAAATTAAAAGAGAAATATGAACTAAACAGAATCAAGAAAATAATAAAAAGTATTAAACAATGATGAAAAATTTTAATGCTCAAATTTAGGAAATAGATTTTCAAAATAGTGAAGAAATAAAAAGAACGAAAGTTATTATTCTTAATTTCAAGTCTGCTTTCGTATAGATAGGTCCAAATACATTTTGTTAGTTGAAAGGACACAACACGAAGAGTTTGTAAAAAACTTCAACCAGAAAATTTTAAAAATTTAACTTTTATGAATATAATTTGCAATTCAGTCTGAACCACTGGACGTCTATTTATTTTACTTCTCTGTTAACTGTCTCTATCTCTCTTTTTTTATTCGAAGATGAGTGAAAAAGAAAAATATGCAGTATGGAAAAATCGTGCTTATTCACAAACATTTGAGCAATTAAGGTTGTTAGAGAAATCTTTTTTATACAAAACAAAGGAACTGTGTTTGTCAGTCAGTTGGATTTATTTAGGGAAACCAAAAAAAAAAATCTCAAATCAAGACAACCAGGTCATTCGAGAAAGTGTCAGTAATCCGAAGAGTCATGCAGAAATACGTCACAATCATACCGAAACTTGTAAGAGGTAATAACAAATGAAGAAGAGAGGAGAGTACGGACACGGAACTTAAGGGAAATCGGATGACCCCACTCCTCCCTTCCACTACTGTCCGTGTGACCCGAGAAAACGGAGTAGTCGAAACACTTCGTGGATGGCCGTGACACCTTTTACCACAGGTGCCTATGAAGCATTGTTCTGAATCGTTGACGGTGACAGTCATAAAGTTTGTGGTGAGTGAGGGTTGTTAATGGTGATAAGGGAGTGATTAGTGATAAGATGCTGATAAGGAAGTGATTAGTGGTCAAATGTTGATAAGGTAGTGATTCAGAGGGCATGATCTTGCTTAGTGATAAATGCTAGGGACAAAGCCATCATTTCAAATTGCAATATATTGAGAAAGCATGCGAGGAGTGAGTGACTCGTTGAACGAAAATAAAACTAAGAAAGAACTCTTCACAGTGCCATTTGGTTTAAGAATTGATTATGTAAATTTTAAATCTGTCTCGAAATTTTCCTAGTAGTAAAGTGCGACTTTTACATTAAAGAGATAATTTTATCAAGTGTTTTTCTTTTTTTGACCTTTGTTACGTTTCATATCTTTCATTAAGTATTTTATTTCTGGTTAAATAAACGTCATCATATAATCAAATTTTTTTGTTCACTTTAAAAAGAAGGATGTGCGTTTATTCGTAATATTAGAATATATAGAAAGATGAGTGGGAAAGATACTATGATCGATTACTACGAAATTCTTGGAGTAGAAAAGAATGCTACAGAACAACAAATCAAGAATAACTATCGAAAATTGGCGCTCAAATTTCATCCAGATCGTAATCCCGGTGACCAAAAAGGTTATTTTTTTCTCTTGACATATAGTTCCTTGCAAAAAATTTCAATAATTTTAGAGAGATTCCGGAGATCCAGAGATATAATGGGAGTAATATAATATATTGTCAATATTTGGAGGATTCATTTCTCTATATTTTCATTACTTGATGTGAAATGAATTGAGGCAAGGTACGATGATTATTCATATACGATATGAATAACATAACGATTGTTACTAAAAAACTAATTTAATATGGGTCTTGATCATGAGACTTTAAAGAATATTTTACAAAAAAGTTTTCAGCTGCTGAACAATTTAAAAAAATATCCATAGCATATGCAGTATTATCAGATCCAAACAAAAGGCGACAATATGATTTAAGTGGTCCTTCAGGCGCTCTTGTCGATTTCGAAGGGATAGATATTAGTGAAATGGGTGGCATTGGTATGGTTTATGCGATGTTCATTCTCTTTTAGCTTTTTTTGTTTATCATTTTTGTATTTTCTGGAATTTGACTTATCCTTTTTGGCTTCCATCTTCAATGTAACATTTTTCTGGGAATTAAATTTGGTAGGTACTAAGGTAGAAATTTCTAAGTTGGTGAATCAAATCGATTAATGTTCGTAACTTTAAAGATCCATGATATATGGATTTTATTGAATTGCGGATTTTATTACTTCAATACTTGTTCTTGACTTTGCTATCTATAGGATTTCTTCAAGAAATTTCAATTTTACATCAAATACTTTGAAATACTACAGGGCGAGTTTTTGGCGCATTGTTTTCAAAATTAGGAGTGCCAATCCCGACTCAGATTGGGCCGAAAGTCCTATCCCAAGCTCGCAGTTTGTGTGAGGGAACGCCAACTGATGCGAAGTACACTGTTTTAAAGGAAGGTACACCGTATGACGGTTCAGTTAGTAAGCAAGTAAGTAAATTTGACATTTTTTTAAATATTTCTTTTATTATCAAATTTGCATCTTAGGGAGTACTACTGCTAGTAAACTTTCAGCTTATGTAATGGTGGCTGTTTTAGAAAAACATTTATGTTGTAATTGCAGTTCTCTGCGAGTTTAAACTGAATGATGTGAACTTCAGTAAGTTTTCAGGAAGCTGACTTTTTCAAGATAACAATGCAACCACAGTGGGAGAAAAATGGATTAATGGTTATCTGTCGGTCAGCGCAAATGAGCAAATTCAAATTAGTTCTTTTTGACAAAGAAGGTGGTGTCCGAATAATTCAGGTAGTGATCTTTCGAATTTCAATTCACATTTTCGTAACCAAGCGATCTAAAGGTATCCCCAGGATGCGAGATCTTGTTCTATTGTTATACACTCATACGGAACAAGCCCATAATTTGAACGAAATATTATATTATCGCTTGATGGTTTTCAGGAAAGCAACAAACGGAAAGGCTGCACAGTGGCTGAAATCTTCTTTGTACCATTCAATAGAGCTAATTTAAGTGAATTTATTCCGATGAAATTTTACATGGAAGATAAGGAAACACCACTGCCATTTCATTTGCTTGATACATTGGAAGTAGTCGGAGCTCATACACTTGAGCAACGTGATCATTTCTTATGCGTATACGGCGATAATTGGATTAAAGATGTCCGCTATCAGCTGAAATTTGTACCACTTAATGATTCACCGATCTCAATGGAATGCGTAAGTCATGAATTACTTGGTTCCGTTGTTGCAAATGATGATATTTTTACCGCCATGTGATTATTGGTTAGCACCTTTACTTCAAATACAAGGTTTTTATAGGTGCGTGACTTGACAACTACAGAGGAAGCGTTGATTAAAAAGAAGAGTGAAATGTCCAAATTCCAAGTAGAGTACACTGAAGCTATTAAGAAGTACAAAGAAGTGGTCGATAGACTTAAGAACGAAACCGAAGAAATCAATTCTCTTCTGAAGGTGACCAATTGCACATTATTCATAGCGATAAATTGAAATAGGCCAAACGGGTCCTCTCCTTTTCTTTATTTCATATCCTTTAAAGTATATTTTATCAGTTGTTTTTTCGGGACAGAATTTATTGATCCGTCTTGATCTTTTCGTACCAAAGACAGATCTTTTCAAGTTTCTTTCACCCACGGTAGATAGAAAGTGAACTGTTTCGCGACGTTTTAAATCCAACTCACGTACTTTAATCGGCGAATAGCCAAACTCTTAGGATCTTCTCCTGCCTCAGGATTTGATGAGTCTACATAAAGGTGCCAGACTCGTCTCACATAACTTTTGTTATAATTTCTAGCCCTGCTTGTTCTGCTTCTGCTGTTATTATTATTTTTTTTTTTTTTGCTTCTTTTTCTCTTCTAGTTTCATACGTCGAAATATTGCAGAGCTATTTTCCTCTGGTAAATATGCTCTCTTAATCTTGACATGTATTATTTCTCTACCAAATTTTCCATCTTATTTTTAGGTTTTTCTGAACTTCCGATTTACATTTTCTATTTTACCTTGTCTTTTAACTACCCATAAATGTTAAATCTTTCAGTGGTGTTGGAAATTTTTAAATTCAAATAACTGTTGAACATATGGCTTCCGATACTACAGCAGAGCTATAGTCTTACCATAGTATCGGCAGCCGTATGCTTAGCAGTTTGGACATGCTATCATGACGTCTTTTTGTGAGAATTTCAATAAAATTTTCTAAATTTTTAAACTAAAGTCCAGGAGGATAAAATAGCAGAAACCATTGCTTTCGTAGCACTTTGCTTTTTGATTACAATAAACGCTTCTATTCATTTCATAACTGTTCGGAACTGTCAGATGTAAGATGAAAATCAAATGCAACTTGCTAGGCTCAGTAAAAATTTTTAATTTTGAGATGTCATTGTTAGAAGTTCGACAGTCAGTCTTATGGGTTTGTTCACTACTAATCCATTGATTATTGTTATATGCTGGGTCTTACTTTTCATTTTGCTGCAAATTTCCCATGATAGTGAAAGAATTCATTAGTACTTGTACTGATATGAGACCGCAAATCAAAACGTCTTGAAAGATCATCAGTATTAACTTTTTTGTTTTAGAAACGAGATTTTGTATACGATGCACTTGAAAAGGAAAGCATGGCACGATTTACTGCTTCAAAACATCTATCTCCAACGCATTCGAATAAAGGGTTATTTTCCTCGTGGTTCTAAATTATATATATTTATATGTATACGGTGTTTTAAATATATTATTGTTTTAAATATATATATATATATATATAGGGGTTGGGTTGTGTTCAATATTTTCATTCGGTGTGTGATGTGTCATATATAAACTCCTCAGTATTGCACGATTTTTTGAACGGGGAATATATGACTCTAACGACTACAACCTTGACCTTTCATTTTCCATTGACCGTATTAATCGAAATGCTATTACGATTTCCCTAAGCACTGCGTTTTTTGGGAACAAAGAAAGAGCTCCATATTTGCACTTGTTTTCGTTGTGAATAGCGATACCATTTCTTGTTTTAAATTTTGACAATGAAATGAAATATTAAAATCCGGAGCTAAAGTTTGGTAATATGTATTGTTATGTACACTTTAATCTACTTTAGCCTTTTGAATTTTAAAACAAATGTTAGACGAGTATCTTATATAACATACCATTCACGTGACGGTGACTCTATTGTGATATTAATGTCAGACATTGTTTTTATTCATTTCTCAAGAACCTAATACAGAAATTGAGTTGTGCAATTAAAAGTGATTAATTAGCTAAGAATAATTACTTCCATATTTAATTGTAAACGTATAAATTCCAATTGAATTGTAGTTCCTGGCATGTACGTTTCTTAGCAGTGAATTGAATTAAACTTGTACATTGTACTACAAATTATTTTTGACTATCAACAAGATTATGTCTACTAGGAGTATTTGAATGTTTCTTACTTTTTCTATTATATTTATTAACATATCACGACGAGTAACCTTCTCACGTCCTGATTATGCTTTAACTGCTTTGTTATGTCATTATTTGTATTATATGTTGAAATATATTTTAGTTCTGATTCATATCATGCTTTCGCCTTCACCGTAATTTATATATCATAAGATGACCGTCGAAGATGACCGTTCGCGATTTTATATTGAAATCTGTTATATCAATTCTACCACAACAAATTTGAGTGATATTTTTCGTCGTCGGATCAGATTGTAAGATTACCGCCATTGTTGATTCACTCGAAATTTCTTTTATCTGCGCTACACAAAGGTCATCACCCCGATGCAAACAGCTCACTCCACTCACTCGACCAGCTCTCCTTTCGAATGCCAGCGACAACACCAAGGGATGTCATTGAGTGTCCCGTGTGTTATGCATGCATCCATTGCACCACTGAGTCATCGTCAACTCGCACTGTCTCCTCCACCAATCATTGCTATATTTATCGATTAGTCTAATCAATAATTGTGTGCGTGCGTGCATGCGTGCGTGTGAGTGGGAGTGGATGGTTACGATGGCAAAAGGAAGAAAGCTGAAGTTGGTGTGATATCCAATGAAGTTGTGTGACGTGGCACAAAAGGTGCTGTTGTGGGATGGCTTATGTGAGAGTATAGCATCGATTTGGATACGATTGTACTTCCTATTGCAGTTAACGAGAACTTCTTTATTCCGTAATACATTTCTAACGTTTGACGTGATATAAAGCGTTAATATTTTTTGACAAGTTTTTGTGAGGATGTCCGTTTATATTTTACATCCGCAAACTGTGGCTACACCTAGCTACTCGTCGACAATTCTTAAGACACGGAATGTATCTGCACCTATTTTACCGCGTTATTGTACAGCACGACCACTCACTGTGGTAGGACGACAGTCACTGCGTACAGTTATTCCGGTGCAAGATGTGCAAAGATCGGCTAAAAATAGTGTGCTTCAGCAACCTATTGAAGAGCTACTTGGTCTGGAAGCTTCAGGGGAACATACAGTTCGAAAACGTGAGCGTTTGAATCATTTGACTGCGGAGGAGAAACAGAATCGACGTAAGTTAAAGAATCGCGTAGCTGCACAGACTGCACGTGATCGCAAGAAATATCGTGCAAGCAAACTTGAAGAAGCCGTTCGGATGCTTATCCTAGAAAACAGCAAATTGCGTGAGGAAAATAAGTGCTTAAAGAAAACATGTGAAGAGCTAAAGAATCAAAATGTCGAGCTGCAGAACTTGTTGAATAACAACCAGGAACGTGACGAATCATGTTCTGAGACAGAAGTAAGTAGTAGTAGTAACATGGCATCATCGTCCCTTGGATCTGCCGAATCCATTCGCGGTCCCCAGCAGAGGGAACAGGCGGTGATGCGTTCATTGCCGATTTTAATGCTTTTCTGTCTAGTGATGAAATGCAGGAAATCATCGGGGAAATCTGCGCAGCTGATGGAGCAGATTCGACGTTGCAAGATGTTGGCGGAACGACACTTGAATTCGAGCGATTCTGTTCAAAGATACTTAGTGAAATTGATGACACTACTGCAGCGTCGGATGCCGCTAAAACGAAATATCCGGAGAAGTGCAACACGCATCGAGTGGATTGCACAACACCAGATATCATTATAGCACCGGAATATTTGAAACCGGACCCAGAGCCCCAGACACCAATTTCTCTTTGTACCGATACAGCCATAAATAACGCAGTGGAATATGAAGAGTCAGCTTCCTGCGTTAATTTTAATATGGAAAGTGATCATGAATCTAACTGTGAACAATTGTCCGGTTATTCTTTTTGTGCATCGAAATCGTCCGATACAGCAGAACATTTCACTCCTTCCTCTCCCTCATTTATCTTGTTTGATGATATAAAAGAGGGAAACAATGATACCCCCTCACTTCTTATTAGTGGTAATGATCCAATGTTTTGTGTCCCACATAAATGGGATACCGATGACGACTACATGTAAATTCAGCACATGCACTCATTGTTATTACTGTAAGTTTGCAGTTTATTGTAATTTCTTTATAACATTTCATTGTTTTTTTTTTTTTTCTTACAGCATATTTTTAAAATATATTTTGTTTTACCGATGGTAATTCCAATGATGTAAGTATCTTTTGATCTTATTCTTTTACAATATTCATTTCCAAATTAGCATACATGTTCTTTTCAGATTTTAAGGTATTCATTGGTTCCGTTTACTTGGTCATCAATTGTGATAGTTTATTCACCAGAATGAACAAAATGTCTCGTGATTATTTATTTCATTTCTTTCTGTTCTAATATGACGGACCTTATATTTTGTATGTTATTCCTATTTGTCTTTATGCCCTTTTTGCTTTTTGAGTTTTTTCTATATCCACATATAAGTTCTAGTATGCACGATCCATATCATCCATTTTTTAAAACTAGGACGCATGCGGGTGAATTGATGATTCGATGAAAACGGGCCTCACCCGTTTCTCGTACTTTATAAATTGGATCCTATTTTTCGACGTGAATGACATAAGAGATCTAAGTGATCGTGCAGAAAATGTACATCCATATTTATAATATTTATCTGAAAGATTGTTTAGCACATGTGAACAAAAGTTATTACTGGAAGCAATTTTATAAAACCCGTCCGGTGAAACAAATAAATTAATTCTTGATATTGTTATCGTCTTCACTATGCTCACTGTCGGACATTTGCTCATCTTCCAGTTCGTGCAATGGAAATCTTAAAACAGCAGCCACACCACCCAGTGCGCTAAGTTGCTCACCCGACACATGCATTGACGAGAATATCAACACGTTCGACCCCTACAAAATTGTTATAGCATAAGAGGAATTGATCGGATACCCTTAACTGATCTAATGAAACACAGAATGCTATTGGCACCGACAGTGTTTTAATTAGAGATAGAAAGATGGTTGGTTTAGAGTGTTATTGGTCTCCTTTTCAGAGCGTTGAGAACATAGTGTATTCAGTTTGATAACCTTTTTGATAAATTGAGAAGAGTCAGCTGAAGAAATGAACTTAAGGCTTTTGATTTCAAAAAGACTGAAAGTCCCACGAATTGTTTCAACTTGCCTGTTCTTTTACAGACTCTGTCAGTTCAACATACTTCCTCCTTAGCTGGATATCATTTGATCTAAACAACGAGTCGGATAGCAACAAGGTGTCGATAGCAAGCTGTTGGTTAGCCATCAACACGTGCTTATAACCATAAAAGGCACGCGATGGATTAGTTGCCATTAGCTGATAAAACATGTCAAGTGTCTTAACTTCAACTTGAGCCTGTAATAAGTATTGATTTGCAAATAACATCCAATCAATATTTTCATCGATTAGTTAAATCTGTTAGCTTAGATTCGTAATCCTCATAAGTTCCACACATGTGTGCATTGTCAGTCTCTAAGTTTTCCAAGAAACAAAAACCCTAAGAAGTTGGGAAAAAGTGTTAAAAAGAAGTCGACCACTTTACTGTCATAACACTTACTTTGGTATCGGACAGAGCGGCTGCCACACTAGGATTTGACAGCACCTCTTTAAGTGCGTGTTTAAAGCCACTGCTGGCATGGACAAGTAAAAATTTGCTACGACTTTCTAAAATCAACTTGTTTCCATGTTTGTCGGCATACTGCATCAAATAATTAAGGAATTGTTCATTGAGAAAGCCACGGCTAGCTATCAATACACATTTAACTATCTAAAATATAAGATGGAACTAATTCGCTGGAATGAATGAATGAAATGTTTCGAAAAATTTTGACCAACCTTCATGTCCACATGCCTAACAAATGCCGTTGCAATAGCTTCATAAAAACGTTGTATACCCTTGTCGTGATGACTTGAAAGACCCTTCCTTTTCCTCGGAATCTAAAAGCATTCTACAAACTTATTGGATATGCTAATTAAATTATTTCAAATTGCTATTCACATATATATTCACTCGATCTTTATTTTTAATTGCAATGCAAAATGATATTACCAACCTGCATGTCAATTTTTGCCTTGACGATGGTCATCTGCGCTGTTACGAGGCATAAATTCGCCAAACCCTCATGCATTATAACAGCAGCTACATCGGCAGTTCGGGATGGCTAAATCCATAAATTAAGAAAAAGTGAAGTGGAAATTTATATAAATGACAATATAAAAACTATAACGGGGATTTCAACTATTTTTGTATGAATAAAACCAAGAAGAAAAGATATGTAAGATGGAAAAGAATGGTAACTCAAAAATATTTACAGCTTCGGAGATCTAACTAGTACTGGTATCTGAAACATAAGTATGTTGTATAATAGCTTACAATGATAGTTTCTTACTGCACGAAATACTAAGTTGTATGATCAAGATTAATGGAAGAGCTTAGAAAAGTTAGTTAAACATGGTCCAAATAACAGCATAATTCATAGTCTATATTAGAAATTTTTACAATAACAGTTTTATAGACATTTACAAAGTTAAAGCGTACATCAAGTGCCAAGTCTAAGCGATCCAAATCTATCGAATCCCATTGTGGTTTCCACAATTTGAATTTCTTTCCAACATCGATATCCAATGTATGATACTGTCCCATTTTCACATGTTGGTTCTCAGCAATATTTCTACCTTTCAGATGCAAGATGCAAGCTATGGGATCAAAATCAACGGTTTCAATGGAAATCGATAAAACAGTATGCACCCGCTGGCTGAAAAAAATAAATCAATATTTTGGCTTCTATAAATTTGGGTGAAATCTAAATTATTATGCAGACAATAGAATAAATAATAAGGTCAATTTTTATGGAAATTACCGATGAACTAAATGAAGAAAAACGTTAAAAAAAATTTAGAAAACTATAAAACTATTGGAAAAAAATTCAATCAGTAGATCTTTTTTGAACTGAATACAAAGAATTAAAAGATTACCTGCATGTACTACCAGTGTTTGATTCCGTTGTAACCTTTCGAACTGTTGTACATCGGACTCTATCACCAACACGTACTAAATTATAAACATGCCACATATCCTCTGCTTCATCACATGATATTGTCACCTCTCTGCAAAAATGACTGTCAGATTTATTCAAGAACTATCTGGGAATTATTAAAACAAAAAACAATAAAATACAAATGGAAATCAGACAGACTGCATGGTACTTACCTTCGAAGAGTATTAAAAGAGAAGAGATATCGGGAAAACCACAGGATTTGAAGAAAAGAAATCTCGATGAAGAGTAACTCATTCTAACTTTGTAAACAGAAATAACAACATTATCAAATAGATATTACATGTTCAGAAATAGTGCTGCAGATTGTTCAATAACCTAATTTAGATTTATATTCGTATCAAGTATATCAACAGTGATGATAAAAAGATCTTAGTGTTGTAGATCAAGTGAATGCATATATGCATCTAACCAGACAAGTAATCGAATTATCAATAACACAAACCCGGCACCATCTTTGTCGATATTTCGTTTGAATTGTTTCATTTGTCCGCGTCAATTCCTGATTAATCTTCATCCACAATTCTAAAAACATTTTGTCAATTAATTTAGCGAAAATATTTCTAGTTTCACCTCTAATTAAACCACTTTTTCATTCGCCTGTCTAAAAGCATCATTTTGATTTCGAAGAAATTCCAGTTTAAAATTTCAAGATTGTATAATTTCAAAGTAACTTTCATATAGCGTGTCACAATAAATACATGAAAAACTGTACAACAGGAAAAATAAAGTATTTCAGAAATGCTACCACAGTCTCCCGTCTATTCCCTTTTCACATTTTCTCTCACGTGCTATAGATAAAAACGAAAATCTAAAAATCCGATATGATTGTTGGAATTCCTGATTAGTTGATCAATCGTATCAGAGATGATTTTAACTGACAACATTAGTTATATCAAGCACTTGATTTTTTTTCTAGAAAATAAGCTAAACAGATCTGATCCATCCGTCCCAGACAACTATCTTGCATTCAATTGAGTCGATCTAATCATTCACCCAAAAGAAATACTTTCATTAAAATCCAACTCAGACAGAACCAAAAAAGAAATGAACTCAACTCTCAAACTTCTCTAAGCTTTTTGTCCTGATGAAGAAGAAAAGGGTGAAAGTTCAGAAACTCAGTGTTTGTCACTTAGATGTCGCCCATTCCGCAAAATGTCACCACACCAGCCAATTCACGGTGAGATTTCACTCTGCAACTGCTCACTGCCATTTCCATTTCATAACGGCCACATCATCCGAGAGTTTCCGTCCGTTAATTTCTCGCTTTCCGTTTCCGTCGCTGACATTACGTACACCTATCTATTCACTAGCTCATACGTATATCCACTTTCGAGTTAGGAGAGCTATTCACACCTGTCTCATCTCTACCTGTCCATTATCTACAGACATGACGTACACCTACCTATTCACTAGCTCATACGTATATCCACTTTCGAGTTAGGAGAGCTATTCACACCTGTCTCATCTCTACCTGTCCATTATCTACAGACATGACGTACACCTATCTATTCACTAGCTCATACGTATATCCACTTTCGAGTTAGGAGAGCTATTCACACCTGTCTCATCTCTACCTGTCCATTATCTACAGACATGACGTACACCTACCTATTCACTAGCTCATACGTATATCCACTTTCGAGTTAGGAGAGCTATTCACACCTGTCTCATCTCTACCTGTCCATTAGCTACAGACATGACGTACACCTACCTATTCACTAGCTCATACGTATATCCACTTTCGAGTTAGGAGAGCTATTCACACCTGTCTCATCTCTACCTGTCCATTATCTACAGACATTACGTACACCTATCTATTCACTAGCTCATACGTATATCCACTTTCGAGTTAGGAGAGCTATTCACACCTGTCTCATCTCTACCTGTCCATTATCTACAGACATGACGTACACCTACCTATTCACTAGCTCATACGTATATCCACTTTCGAGTTAGGGGAGCTATTCACACCTGTCTCATCTC